ACAGGAAGTCAGCACTAGAATGTATTGATCCACACATGGATTTGCCAAATGAACAGAGAATTGGTAGCATACAATCAGGACTTCAGGCAGTGCTACTGTGTATACAGACAGGACATTTCATTGAGACATACATAGAACAATACAGTATACAGACAGTTACAGCATTCAGGAAAGTAGAGAATACTACTTGGACACAGTGTGATAGAACATTATGCTATGAGACAGTGAAAGTATACTCAGACGATTCAGGAATTGAATCAGTCGACTTATGAAGGCACAAACAAGTTGAGACACAAGGAAACAGTATGAGAACACAGCAGGACATTCATTGCACACTGAGATACTGTACATATAGACACATATCTAGTGATATTAGACTCATACATTATGATCTCATTAAATTCAAGACAATATTTCCATTCAAGGACAAATATTACACTCTAGGTTGCACTCTACAATTAGTATTTAGACATTGAGCTCAACAGGATATTCAGTTTTGCATCACAGTTTGTTATTGCAAGCAAAAGAGTACACATTTGGAGACATTCTACCAATACAAGCACAAGGCATTACATTTGCAGGAACTAGTCTATTGGAAAAATCAAGGACATAGCAGAGGAATTTTGGAATACATCTCTGCTATCTATTATTGCATGACTATTCTACAGGAGCAGAGAAATGCACAAGGTCAGCTAGAAGCCACAACACTAATACATTCTATTGAGGAAGAAGGCTATAGCTTTGTCAATCAGGGATTTACCTCTGTGCTTCCTGAAGATACAGGAGAAGAGAATATTTACAATTACCATACTGCTGGAATTTCCATTTCTGTACATATTGATCTACACTGTGTGTCTCAGAGTACCCAAGAGCCAAAACACTATATCTCCCCAGGAACTCCACCAATTCCCTTTGAAAAGTGTTGTATTAATAGCAACAATCAAGAGGCAACTTTCCTACTAATTGACTATACAGTAATAATGACCATGTTTAATTTTATTAATGTTTTATCTAGTTTCACATAGTTTGGAACCATACTACCTACTGTCCAGAATGCCACCACTGTCTCAATACACACTGGATCGACTTTGGATCAGTTCAGAGAGGTAGTACTACATTATGAGGATGTTTCCTGTATGCATGAGCAAAGTATTTTATTATTTACTTGTTACTAACTGTTACTTTAAGTAAGTTTTCCACCTTTTCTACTGATTTTTAGCATTTAGGACTAAATGCTAGAGGGCAAGTGTAAGGATTTGATTTACTGGTTTGTATTTTATTATTACTACATTGCTGATTGTGTCAGATCATTACACAGTAGGACCCACAAGCACATATATTCTCATTGTAGTTAGTTACACTTCCTCCTCATGTATCTACACATGTACCACCCTATAAAAGACAGTATTGACTGCTGGGTAAAGGGAATTCTTTTCCCCTGACCCCTCACTCAAGTACTAGGTTATCCTAGTCAGTAGTCAAGTGAACTAAGGGCAATTAGAATTCTCTTGTGAGGAACAGTGAGTTTCCTTACATACAGCTTTGTCTACAGCCTGAATCAACTTGTTCAACACTCTGAATCTCAACCTACATGCACTACTCACACTTGCTACACACTGTTGCAGTATGTCCACCTTTTCTCTCCTACTGATACTTACTAACTACTCTAAACCTGTCTAACAGGTGCAGCCTCAACCTCCACAACCTGCTTGACCTCAACCTACACACACACACAATTTGACTCACAGGTCCTGAGCAACAGCCAAACATGGTGACAAAGACTACATCAAACAGTCTAAGGATGCATTCATCCTTTTCCAACACGAATTCTGCTCACAAAAGAACAAGGCAGAGGCTGCTAGTAGTGTAAGGGTCAGGACTGTAGAAATAATGTATCATTTATTATTTTGTATTAAATAATTAAATATAATTATATTTTATAAATTATTTGATAAAAAATTGTATCCAAAGCAAAAGGAAGTGATTCAAATGCTTGTAATGGCTTATAAGCATTATAAGTAGATATTATACTGTTACAAATTAATAAGTATGTCTTAACCTTGTAATCTTAGGAAGTATATTATAATCACTTGTATAACTTGACAATTTACACAATTATAATTGTAATTGCCAAGTTTTAAAAGTATTCTTGTTTACTTATTTAACATTGTACTATCATTGCTTAACCCCCTATGAAGATTATATTAACATTGACAAATTTTATAAAAGGTACAAAATGTATAGGATTACAAGTGAATACAATACTTAAGACTTTTTCATAATGTACTTACAGACTAATAACTAAACTAAGTGAGTCAATTAAGAGATTAAGCTCTATCTCTAAATGTTCATTAATTATTAGTAGTCAGACTGGTCTGAATAGTTAGCTCTGACAGAATTTGTGTATAATAACTAGTAACACTCTATAATAGGACAATCTCTGTTCTTCCTTAATTATAAGAGACATTTATACTAAGAAACAGTTCTGAACCAGAACAGTAGTTCTGAATCTGTAACAGACTTTGTAGAACAGATACACAAGACTAGAGAGAATGTACAAGCTCTTTTAGAAAAGGTAGTACAGGTTATAAAGTAGAACTATAATTAAAAGAGATTTGTGACTAAGGATTACTAGTCTAGTAACAAAGTTATACTAGAAGCTACTAATCTAACTACAGATTGTCTAATAAAGAAGTTAGACAACAAGTACTTCAGACTCTTTATTATTAAAAAGAAGGTTAGTACCTCTACTTACAAACTCTAACTTCTAGTAACATAGAGGCATATATACTCAGTGTTTAACAAGGTTCTATTATCTTAGTACTATAATTCAGGTTTTCCTTTACAACAAAGACCCCTACTGTCTCTACCAGAACTTATTAGTTCTGAACCAGAATACAAAGTAGAGTATGTAGTAAATACTAAACTAGTATACAGAAAGCTTAAGTTCCTTATTTACTAGAAAGGATACTTAGTTAAAGAACACACTTAGGAACCTGTTAAGAATCTTACTCATACTACTAAAACAATTTAAGACTTCTATCAACTTTATCTGGGTGCTCTACACTAACTCTATCTTATAGATTTCTAAACCCTACTATTCTGACCTATACTTAAGTTATTAACTAAGTCTAATGTTTACCAATTAGGACAATTAGTTTTAGAGGGAGAGTAATGTTATAGTTCTCTACTCTTACACCTTCAGTTTTAAAGGTTCTACACTCTTCTGTACTAGAACTTAGGACTTCTGTCCTTTAGGGGTACTGTCTATAAACTATATACATACTAACTCTTACTACTACCCCTCCTTACTTTATTATTCTATTCCTTTAACTACTCTTTCATTCTTTGTTTATTCTATAGTCTCTTACCCTTTGTCTATCCCTTTATTCTTTGTACCTTTATCTTTAATCTTCCTTTCTTTCATTCTTTATAGTTTATCATTCTTAGTAGCTCATATTTCCTGAGTACTCTTATATAGTTTAGTATATATAGACATACAAGATCAGACTAGTCCTATAGTCTTAATCTTGTCTACTCTAAATAGTTCTGTACTCTTAAGCTCACTCTATATACTCTACTCTTGTCTCACTCTCTCTCTCTGTCTGTTCTGTAAGTTCCAACTATGTTCTAGTACTTGTGTTCTGTATTTCTGTTGTGTAGGATAGTTGTAGCCTAGGCTCCCTTACTAAGCCTTCAGGTCCCCTCTATACTGTTACTAATACTTACTATAATACAACTTGTGTTCTGAGCCTGTAATAAGTACATGATCTGTACATCCTGTAAGATAAACAGTGTGTGTAAGCCAATTCTGAGACTGTACACATTTGTGGTTCTGTTTACAAACACTTGTAATGTAGAATAGTTGAGTGTTCTTAGAATATGCTTTTATGAGTTACATGATTGTTCAGAATTGATTACTATGATTGTCTGCATATAATGTATAGTTCTTAGTATAATGCTGATTGTTTTAGTAGTAATACAGAATTATATTGTAATAGTAGAACTATTAGAGTAACATTACAAAACATGAAAAAATCTTGTATACCCTTCTAAATATAGTAAGGTAGATTAAGTATTAGTAAACTATACAATTAAATATAAATACATACATGTTAGTAGTATACTTATTTTAAAATTACAATATAGGGACAGAATTCTTATTTGAATATAATCTTATATAATTATTTAATATAAATACAATGTTATACAAGAGTTGGACAAGAATTACAAAACAAATACAAGATTAACCAAGTATTCTAATAACATTAGAAGGCATTACAAGTAAGTGGAAATTATCATAACTACTAATATTGTTCTTGATTTCTTAAATACTTGGAAGTTTTTTCTGCCTAGCAAGATAAACGTCAGAAAATCGACAAGTCCATTTTCCCACCAACTAAAGTGATCACGTGTGTGTTGGTTTTTACTTATCTCGTTTCACTTTGCCTTCTGCTTTTCTCTCTCTCAACATCTCTTGCTTTCTTCCCGCCATCTCTCCCCTCTCTCTCACGACTAGCTTCCACCGCAGAGTCTGCCGTTGCAAGAACAACTTCTTCAATATTCGCTGCCTTGTCCAACACAACCTGCTGCTCTACTGAACAACTGCGTTACATTGACCACGTCTGAAGACGCGCGCCATGGGTCACTACAAGATCGAGACTCACCCCAATAACGGTGCGTGCATCTCCTTGTCCCTCTCCATCCGCTAGCCTATTTCCATCATCCCGTTTCTCTCTCCCCGTGCTATTTTCTCGCGCAATTCAATTCGCCATGCTGACTCTATTTTCTCTCTGTCTCTCGAGGGCGCTGGTAGCACGAGCGCAACCGCTCAGTACATTTTCTCAAGGCAAGTTGTGTTCTCAGTTTTGCTTATGCGCTCTTGTGCGACGCGTTGTGCGGGAGCTGCAGTGCTAGTGTGACGCATTGACTGAGTGGCCCCGCTGCGCTGCTGTGCACTCGCTATAATTATTTCGACGGAGGCTAACGCCTATTTATTTTTATATCTCCTTCGCTGTCGGCTGTCGGTAACCACTGTGTGATGTGCTGCGCTGTCTGTCCGTTGCATGTTCTTGGCTGAAGCGTCGAACTTGCCCATGGCGTGCAGCGGGAGAACGGGCTGTTCAAGATCGCGTATCTTGCGTCCCTGTTCTCACACACCTGCCTGCTCTATTTTTGGAACACAACCTTCCTGCTCGATGTCAACGGCGGCATGTCGATTCCCTTCTTCGTCTGACGCGCCCTGACCGCCCCAGGGCAACTCCCGATGCCGATGGCCGATGACGCCAATGATGACGACGCCGCTGCAGAGGAACGGGCCGGCCAGCATGTGAAGCTGCACGAGTACTACTCGACCGACGTCGACAACATGGTCCAACGACACATCCATGTGTGTACATGTCTTTCGTGTTTCCTTTCTTTGCCATGCGCCCCGCCCGCTGGTCACCGCAGCTGGCCCCTTTCTCCTAGTCTTCACGCCAGCCATTGACTCATTATTTTATCCCTATTTCTTTTTACATTTTATTTTGTTTACTTTGTGTGACTGCTTGCTGACACTCGCCTGCTCTTCTCGCGCTCTCCCTTGTGGACTTTACTGTGGCCCCCCAAACGAACTGTGTAATGTGTGATGTGATGCAATGCCGCCCATGGACGCGTCGACCCCCGTATGTCCGATGATCGCCCCCAATGCACCACTCTCTCATATCGCCCCCCGCGCTAAATTGCGGTCACTGCAGTCTATCTATCCATCCTCTCTCGCTACCGTTCTTCTGCTCCTGCCCTCTGCACCCGGCCGCACAGCCGCACATCTCGCCTGCATTGTGTTTCACTACACGGCCTTCGCGGGCTTCCTTGGTCCCTCACAACGCCTGCACGCGTCCGCTCGCACTTCCCGTTACTATCACCTCCACAGTCTGTCTGATCAGCACGCTCCCTGTCCCCCTATCCATACATCACGCGTCCGGTTCGGTCGACCTGTATTGTCGTAATGTTCTGGCATAGCTTTTTCTCACTAGTTTGACAGGGAACAAGAATCTAAGCATTCAGCTGACTTTAGCAAGCAACCAGACAATGGTGCTCATGATGACAACCACAACAATGATGAAGGGCCAAGGCCCTCAGGTTCTAGAGGCACTTCTTCAGCCAGACAGCCTAGTGGATCTTCTGGAGGAACTATGGGAGGCAATGTGGGTATGAGTGGAAGAAATAAGAGTAGTACAGGATTTAATAGTAGTTCTAGTAAATACTTTTGCCTGTAATTATTTACTCAAGTATAATATATTTGTTTTCTAATTCAATAATGATAAAAAAGAATGATTATTGTATGAAGCATTTATTGTTTGAGCAACTCTGGTAAGAGCTTGTATTCTCACTCAAGTCTTGTATACTCTGACAATTTATAAAAGTATTGTAAATTTTAGAAGTCTTACAGACCTTCTAAAGATACATCTTAGTAGCAGATGCTAATGTAATGATTATTGACAGACTTCTATATCTTTTATATATTATAGTTATTAGAATAACATACAATGTATTGTCAGACCACATCTAGTTTTGTAATGAAGATAATCTAGGATTAGTATTAACTCAATTGTACTTCTAATTCTTCTGTAACTTTTAGTAATAGAGAGTGTAGATTGACTCTTATACTCTATTTGTGCTTTGTAATATGTATAATACTGTGAACAACTCCTAATAATGTTAATAAAAGCTCTGTACTCAGCTTCTCTGAATAAGTCATATACTGGATTTAGTAAAAGATTATAGAATATGTAAGTTATAGTCTTACTTTTTAACATTATCTACAGACCTCCTTCTCACATAAGGAGACTCTATCAGGTCCTAGATACATGTTAACAGATCAAATCTGTTTCACATAAATAGTATTGTTAATAGTCTCTATATACATATACTAAGAGAGAACTTATGAGAAGGCTACATTCATTAGTGTAAGATTATTTGCATTTTGTACATACAGGTCTCCTTTACACTCTATAAGAAGATGTAGGACCTTGTAAGGACAAACTCAATATTAGTAGTATAATAAAATGTTAGCTTACATACTTACTCATAATTCTATTAACTTACACTAATGCTAGGTTAATACAATGTTAGATAATACACTTGGCCATTCACTAAATCTATAATAAAAGCTTAGAGACATTGTTCTATCAATTCAGTACAAACATAAGTATATATTAACAATCCTAAAGTACTACATCTGATTAGCTTTACACTAACTACTACTATGAGTAAAGTATACATAAACACAGAGAAGGAAAGGCTTGTAAACATTTATAACAAAGTGAAAAAGAGTAGGCTGTACATACATTTAGTTAGAGAAGGAAAAAGCCTTACACAAAAGTAGTACATAGAAACCTGCTTAGTAATAATGACAAAATGTCTAAGGTTGTACTCTACTATTCTTTGCTCATTACCCTGTTCTACTACAACTGTTCCAATTTGAGTATAAGGTTGATAACATTGTAATTAACACTAGCAATGTTGTGCTCTGCTTCACCTCTAGCAAAGTTCATTTCAAGGTATTTATTAATCTGCTCCTTAATATCTGTGAGTTTTTTATTATAGTAATCCTCCAGTTTGTACAGAATCTTCATCAACTTCTACATTTGACCCTTAAGATCTGACAGACAACTAGTGAGCTCAATGCCAGCTGAAATGATAATATTTTCAACACATTTTGCTACATTAAAGTAGTTATTAAAATGCTTAGGATAATAGTAAGTAAACTGATTTGTCACAATTCTTACTAGTAATTCCTGAAGAACAGTAAGAATACACAGCAAATCATTAAGAACAACCTGAAGACCTTTACAAACAGTCTAGTAATCACACATCTTTACATTGTACTCTAAGGTGAGAAGCCTTACAAGCTCTTAACATACAACAGAATCCTTCTGAATATGTGTAGCACCTTCTGTACACACTTCTGTGTCTGAATCCAGTAGTTTGTCCTTAGTATTATTCATTTCTGTATCTTCTAACAGGTTGGTAAGTAGAGAGGAATGGTCACTCAGTTCTATACAAGGGCTAGTAATAATATTATGTAATCCTGATCCTCTAGACTCAGTTCCTCCTTAGTAAGAATGTAATCCATGTTTACTCTTGCCTAGTTTACATTCCTTACTAGAGTCTGGGTTGTCTGAACCTTTGTACTTCCTACCCTTCTTAGCTGCCTCTCTTGCCTCTCTTACCTCTCTCTCCTGTCTCTTTGCCTCCTCTCTTATAGTTTAAAATTCAATCCAGAGCTCCCTTAATCTAATACTGTCTACTACTTCTAAGTTGAACTAGTAAGGATTCTATAGGTCTACCAGAGTACTAGGCTTTACAGTATTCTACTAACATTCTAGTATTGTAGCCAGACATTCTAGTCTAGTACTCTCTACAAGCTACTTATAGTACTTTCTTTCTACAAGTTCAATGTTGTACTTCTGCTTTATATAGTATAGGATTATTATTAGGACAAAAAATCCAAGCTTACAGACTAATACAAGATTATTGTTTTCACTCTCTAGTACTATACTAATGTTACTATTGTAACTTACTGTTCTACTAATCTGGCCAACATATATTTCTGTAAAAGGAAGATCAGACTCAAGTAGTAGCTTGGTCTGATAGAGATACTTACTATTAGATTCATAGAACTTTATGTACACAGTATTGAGCACCTCCTTAAAACAAAACCAGAGGACAGATGTTCTAGACTGGTTGTACTTATTCATAATAACATTCATAATAAACTTGTTTAGAATGACATTTACAAATGTTATTACAACATAAAACCAACCTTTGTTAAGCAGGCTACATAAGAGTATTGTGTCTGTAAAGGAATGATACTACACATTACAGAACAAATTTAGTTTTGTGTAAAGGTAATTTAATAAGATGTGCTCACCTTGTAGGTAAGACTGATCAAAAGTCTCTAAGTCTCTGTTACTTTGATGAGAGCACCCTCCTAGTCATCCAAACAATATTTGATTACTTCCAGGGCTTGTTCTGTCTTATACAACTTCTTATTATGTTCTGATAGATTTGTATCAACCTTATTGTTCCTTGTCTTTAGTGAGTCTTGAATCAATTTCAAATTATTGTACATAATAGTTAAGTTATCTATGACCATTTTATTGTCTGACTTAAGCTTGCTTTCAGACATACAACTTGCCAACTTGTTATAAAGCTGTTCAAGATTGTCCAACCTTGTTACTAGCTCTGTTTAATTAATGTTAGTATATACACTAAAAATAGTAATAAAAGGATGTACAACCTAGCAATCTTGTAATAAAGTACACATAGTAAGTTGGGCAAGCTAAGTAATATTAATGTGGATTCATTTTGTTCAACAAGAAGCATAATGTGTACCTAGATCACCCTCTAAACCTCTCAAACTACTTGTTAGGACACTAGTAGTAGTTATTACTAACAAAGCTATAGGTCTGAGTAAAGAGCCTAAGTATAGTGTAGGTGAAGCAAGCTACACTATAGTAAATATAGATGGTAGAAACAGTTAAAAGAGAGGGGTAATACTATTACTGTAATAGTAGTAAGGGACTGTTAGAGGGACCTATACTGTTGTTAATGTTAACACACTTTATAAGATTAGAGATATTACTACTATTAGACTACATTCTATAATGTTCTAGTAGTACTCAATAATGTATACACACTACTAAACAGGTTGTATTGTTTAGTAACATTAAGGATTATTGTAACAGTATGTATGTGTTATTAGTTTAATAGCTAACAATGTACATATTTGAATTGTGACTTACCTGTTTACTACTTCCCTACTACTTTATTGTGTAGTACCACCTAAACCTTAACTAAGACATACTACAAACACTATAGTAGGCAAATGTCTCTCCAAGCTTATAGAGAAGGCTCAAAACACTAAAGCTTCTAAGGCACCTTGTAGAAGGAGATGTCTACAGACAAGACTTGGTACTAGTTATAGTTACAGTCAACCACCTCATTCTTCTTACACTCAGGAAGGAAGGCCTAGGGTTGTTAAACTAAGTAAAAGTAGTAGAACAGGTAGAGAAAAGGTAAGTATTGTTCCTATTTGTTAAGTGTATTAAAAATGAATAGTATTTTACTAAGGCTACTACTCACCCCTCTAAGAAGAAGGCCCTAATACTTTTGGAAGAGGAGTGTCTACTAAAGGGTGAAGGAGGTACTAGTAATGTTGAGCCTGAAGACAAACTAGAGTATCTAAAGTATGGTTGCCCTTAGAAAGACTAGGCAGATATGAATACAGTATTATAGGTATAACTAACTAATATGTATGTCACCTTCTATTACTCATACACACCTTTTCTAAGGACTTGGACTTGATTCCCTTTACTAGACAAGATACTGCTTCTACTAACCTGGTTGACAATAATAGGCTTTTTCCAAATGAACCAACAGAAGACATGTTTGTACACACTCTAACTGACAGCTTAGCCAACAGTACAATCCTCTTGTCTGATTCAGAATACAAAGAGGATAAAGGGAACAAAGGTACATTTTATAATGTACCTGTCATTACCCCTTACTAATAAAAGATTTAGATAATATTTTACTACTAGTTACATTAACACTGTATACTTGTTGTTTTAAACCACAGAAAAGGTTCAGTGAAAGTAAGGGTGAAGAAGTCAAGGTCAGTGTTTATGATAGAATTGGACTGTGTACAATAACTATTACACCTTTAAATACTCATCATAATATCCTGGAAAAGACAGTAAATATAATAAAGTGTCCTAACTATCTTGTAGAAATTAGATATGAAACAGTATAGAGTGTAAAGATTGGATCAAAGAAAAGTCTTACATACCTTTTGAATACTAATAAACTTGATGAATTTTGGGTTGTATACTATAAGTATGTTAAGAATTAGTAGTTTAAGAAGTACAGTTGTGCTAGAGATATTATCTGTAACATTACTTTCTCTAACATGTTAGATAATACTATAGTAAGTACAAAATTATAAATCATTAGTTTGTGGTTACTAAGTACATACTACAGAGTTAAGAAAGGGCAACAGGTTGTTCAGACAATGTATCTAAAGGCAAATCATTAAAGTAGGAGAACCTAACATTTGCTACAAGGAATTCTGTAAACAACAAGATGGTTAAAGTAACACAGTACATTCAGGATAGTATGTTTTACAAACAGTATAACTGTCTCTACTATAAGAAGTATAATAGGACCTATAGTGTTTATACACATGATTATGTTCTAGAACATATAAGGAAACTAGTAAGCCTTACACTACCTTCTGTCTAACTCTCCCCCCTGTTTGTATTACTCTAATCATTATTACTTAGATTCAAGGAGAGCCAAATGTTACTGTGTTAAAGGTTCTAGCTTTAATGTTAGTAAAGCTTCTTAATTACAAGTAACTAGGTAAGAAAGTTAGGAAGTTTGTTCAATCAAGCCTTCTTGTTACAGTAGGTAAGATTTGTCTGGTCACACCTGGACTAGAAACAGAGACTATACAGGAACCTACTGTGTATGTATACAAAACATTCTTTAACTATCCTACAATTTTGATCTGACTAAGAATGTGTAAAGACAATCTTAAACATAGTTGTAATAAAAACAACTACATAGTTCTCTTACTTGTCTTTGAGCAGAATGGCTGTACAAGAATTAATAACATTTCAAGAATGCCTTCTAAGATAATAAAGACATTAGTTAAGAGGTAAGGTATTATTACTATAATAGGGCTTGTAAATTGTGTGTATACATACACAATTAAAGACATTACATACATTAGGAACCTAACAAAGTATTCAATCTAATAGTAGTACAGAGTTTTTAAATGGATTATATAAGCTTTAACAGTCTTTCTTTAAAGTTTGTATATTAATTTGATTGTATTTAACTGTGTCTATTTACTTTAATCTTATAAGTCTTATTTAAATTTAGAGATACTCAGAGTGATAATAAAATGTACAACAGTTGTCTATACTAATAGTGAAAACCTGGAAATATAAGTGTTTATAAACTAAAGATTCATCTGTTCTAAACAGTAATAGATTATAACATAATATATGTTTGAGTAATAAAAAGGTAAGCTTAATTAGGTTAAAGTCAGGAGAATAAGCTGGAAGGAACTCAAGTTTTATCCCTCTATTTTATAGTTAGTATTCAATTATTAAAAGCTAAACATTTCTTACATACCTTACTTTAATGAGTTCTTGAATTTCAGGTACTTTGTAAATAGTACAATTGTTTATTATAATAACTAACCTTAGAGCTGAGAAAGGTTGCATTTTGGCAAGTAAATCATTAATAAACTCAAGAAATAACTCTATATTGAATGAGCCTTTAATAATTATACATTCAAGGATACCCTTTAGTGAAATTGCTAGAAGAATAGAATATCTAATAAAAGTAAGCTTTAGTTTATTCTATATAAATAAAACACTCTACTGTTTCCCTCTAGTAAAGACTTGCTTGTAACATGTATAAAGACCTTCTAAAGCCTATACTTGGTTTTACAAGTATGTTCTCCAGTCACATACACTCTTATTAACAAAAACTAACTGTTTAGGAGTATAATTTGTACTAATACAAAGACAATACTTGGCTCAATTAGCTTTATTATATTCAAGTACTTGTTTAGTAATCTATACACTAGTAAATAAAACTTATCAGTATTAATTTAATAATGATTACTCACATTCTACCTCCCTTATTCAAAAACCAACACATTGTAGAGTTCTCTATATTGTTGTTTTAGAGACTCTTATCCTACACTGTTGTTCAAGTGTGTTACAAAGTTCAACAAGGTATTAATTACTAGAATGTGTTACAGCTCTAATAAGAAACTAAAACTTGCTTTTGAGTGTTAAATATGATTCAATGTACTAGGTCAACTTACCTGAGTATTAGCAAAATTAAGAACTCTTTAACATCTAGCTTTTATTGTATGTGTTGGATTAACTTTACTAGTCTGTCTCTACACAGATAGAATATAAAAAATTGTGTGTTGAGAAACATTAGTTAAATGTGAAATTTGAGTCACATTAAGTTTGTAGTGATTATACATATAGATAATAACATTGTAAAGGTCTTTAGAAAGGCAAATACTACTAAGTATAGAGTAATAGGTAGGAAGGAAAAAGTGCTACATTAGAATCCATATTTTCACATGTGTAAATTAATAGTACTAGCTAATATAAGTAATTAATAGTATTTCCTATACAACTATAAACTCTTTCTTTGTAAACACAACTTGTACAAACTTTGTATAGTAGACTTAGACTGAATTAGTGAGTCCTACCTGTGTTTTAAGTAAAACAAGTTGTAGTAGGAATTTTCTATAAATACAGTGACAGATTTAATAGTTTTGAGTATGAATCAAACATATATATCTTTAATTACTGTATTTTATAAGACTCTAGCTATTATGAAACTCAGCACATAAGTACTATAGTATTAGACCTTTATTTAGAATTTTAAAACAGATTTTTTAGTACATTTCTTAGAGTGCTAGAATTTTGCAAAATATAAAGATTTTGTCTAAGTATGGTTCTTTTTTTTCTAAAAAAATATACAGTACATTTTTTCAATTTTTTTTTGCAAATTCATATACAGATTACTTTAAAGAAAATTTACATTGTTTAAAGAGAAAATATAGAGCAATATTGACAGAGAAAATAGAGGTTTTGTCAATTTTTCTCTTATTTTGTTTATAATGTGACAAAAAAAACACACAAGATTAGTGAGTGTCAGGTATTTTGAAAACAGCTATAAAGAACAAGTAAGAGTACTATCTAATTTTATTAAAGAACAAGTTATAAACTTTTATCTATAGAAAATAAGTATGAATGAATCTTAATAGACCTTATTACAGTTCTTTAAAGGTCTAATAGACTTTTGTTTCCTCTCTAACTTTGTAAAAATACTTAGGAAAGAGTTTAATACAATAAAACAAGGATACAGAGTTATACAGGAATATTTGTACAATTTAGAAATGAAAGTAATTAACTTAGACAATATTTCTAATAAAGATTTAACTAGTAGAGTATAAAATAGACTTTATCCTAAGTATTAGAGACAATTACAATTAGATTGTTTGAATCTGAATACAGTTTTATATAAAGAATTTAAAGACAAACTTAAAAACATTAAAAAAGTAAATAAAGCTGTTAGAATTAAATAGTATACAGATACTAAAGATTGATTCTATTCTTAGAATAACAAAGAAGTATCAGCAACAGTATAGAGGGGACCTGAAGGCTTAGTAAGAGGACCCAGGCTATAACTATCCTACATAACAGAAATACAGAATGTAAGTACTAGAACATAGTTGGAACTTGTAAAACAGACAGAGAGAGAGAGTAAGACAAGAGTAGAGTATATAGAGTAAGTCTAAGAGTACAGGACTATCTAGAGTAGACAAGATTAAGACTACAAGACTAGTCTGATCTTATACACTTATATATACTAAACTATACAAGAGTACTTAGAGAGTATAAGCTACTAAGAATGATAAGCTATAAAGAATGAAAGAAAGGAAGGTCAAAGATAAAGGTACAAAGAATGAAAGGATAGACAAAGGGTAAGAGACTATAGAATGAACAAAGAATAAAAGGGTGGTCAAAGGAATAGAATGATAAAGTAAGAAGGGGTAGTAGTAAGAGTCAGTACATATATAATCTATAAACAGTACTCTTAAGAGACAGAAGTCCTAAGTTCTAGTATAGAAGAGTGTAGAACCCTTAGAACTAAAGGTACAAGAGTAGAGAACTGTAACATTCAAGTAGAGAACTGTAACATTCAAGTAGAGAACTGTAACATTACCCTCTCTCTAAAACTAATTACTCTAATTAGTAAACATTAGGCTTAGTCAGTAGCTTAAGTATAGGTTAGAACAGTAAGGTTTAGAAATCTGTAAGGTAGAGTTGATACAGAGCACCTAGATAAAGTTAATAGAAGTCTCAGATTGTCTTAGTAGTATAAGTAAGATTCTTAGTAGGTTCTTAAGTGTGTTCTTTAACTAAATATTCCTTCTAGTAAATAAGGAACTTGAGCTTCCTGTGTACTAGTTTAGTATTTACTACATACTCTACTTTGTATTCTAGTTTAAAACTGATAAGTTTCAGTAAGGGTAGTAAGGGTCTTTGTTATAAAGGAAAACTTGAATCATAGTACTGAGACAATAGAACCTTGTTAAACACTAAGTGTATGTACTTTTATGTTATTAGGAGTTAGAGTTTGTAGACAGAGGTACTAACCTTCTTTTTAATAATAAAGAGTCTGAAGTACTTATTGTCTAACTTCTTTATTAGGTAATTCATGGTTATATTAGTAGCTTCTAGTATAACTTTGTTTCTAAGCTAGTAATCCTTAGCTACAAATCTCTTTCAATCATAGTTCTACTTTATTACTTGTACTACCTTCTCTAAAAGAGCTTGTGTA